CTTATGCTAATTTACCAAGTTATTCTTCGGGGATACAAGATAACGAGTGATAACAGTAAAAACGATGAGAGTAATGGAAGAGTCATTCGACAAAAATCAAGAAAGCAACAAATGAATGCTGACCTGTGATCGGCCCTCGTAGATTCGACTTTCGAACAGTTTTGGAACCCTCCGAATCTTCAAGATTATTCTGTTTGTGATGTCTCGATCGTCCCATTCGATCATATCACCAAAAGAGAGAGGTTTCTCCAACCTTCGCCTACAGCATTTTTTAAGAATGCAGGGAGGCTGTGCAATTTGAAACATACTTCTGATTCTTGACGTAAGCCGGATCATAAGCTCCATTCGCCTCAAATCTGAATGCTGGCTCTCCGACTTGCGCAAGTTCATGGGAGCATTCATTCTTAAACAAAAATGTTGACCATGGTACAGGGCTGGAAAACAAACGCTTACATCCGCATCAACAATGAACTCCAAAACATAATTCCGAATGACAACATCTGTCAGTTGCATGTCAGTAACCACCAATCCAATGTGGACCATGATTCGTGTTCATTGAGAGCTCTGTAAAAGCTGCACTATGCGCTATTTTCACAAAAGCCACGGCAACAAACACATTCGTTATAATTTCGCGCAGAATCAGAGAACCGAGAGGTTGCCACCTTTCTGGCGGCTGCGTCGCAGCAAAATGATGCAGAGCAGATTTTCCTCGCACGCTGCAGCGACTGGTTGCAGCTGGTGGGTTTGCGAGTGGGAGGCTTTACTCTCGTTTATTGATTTGTCCTCCAACCAGCCTTTTCAACAACAAACTGCAATTTTATTCTAGAAAACTCTTATAATGGACAGTTATGGTGATAAGACGCGAAGACACCAAAAGAAGATAAAACAACACAGACTTAATGACGAGAAAGTGCTGTGAGACATTTGAACCATTTTGACAAATTGCAATAGGAACGCCATGCTTTCTATTCTTTGACACTGCAGGTAGTATACTATATAGAT